AAATCTTTTAAAAAAAAAATAAAAAAAAAAAAATAAAGAGGCCCTCCCTGGTGATGCAGCAGGTTAAAGCACAGCACTAAGAAGCTAAAGCCACCTCAGCATGAGTTTGATCTCCCTCGCCCCCTCCCTCAGGTGATCGACATGGCTCAGCAGACCTCTCCTGACCCGCCCACTGTTCCCCTCAGCAGTGCCCTTCGTCAGTCAGCCTGTTCTGCTCCCCACTGTGTCTCTGGTGAATCCTCTCACTGCCCCTGCACCTCTGGTCTGTACCCCAGTTCTGTACCCCAGTTCTGTATGCAAATAAATATATCTTTAAAAAAAAAAGTGTGAGAGTATAAATCGACACAATGCCAAGTTCTACTTTGGACAATAGCCTGCAAAATTAGCTATAAAAGACTTCTGAAGTCAATTTATAAAAGAGTCAAACATTAGATGATATGAAAACAGATTACAATGAAATAGCATTACGGTGTGTGTGTGTATTTATATTACCTCCCTCCCCCACACACCCCCCACACCCCACCCAGTGGGCTGAACACAGAGATGCTGGAGATGCAGGTTTACACTGTAGACAGGGCATGGTCCCAGTAGTACTGGCCACAGGTGGATAAAGCAAGCGTTTCTCAGGCCCGTGGGACACTGTCTATAGAACAGTTTCCCCACAGACATCCCACAAACCTCCTTGGAGGACTGGGTCCCCAGGACAGAGCTGTGGCTGGAGAGAATGGAGACTGTCAGGCAATTTCCATGAACAAAGTTTAACCTAGAAGCGCAAGTTCCTGTTACTGGGTCTGGATGCTTTAAACTCTTAACTGGAGGGGAATGTAATCCCAACAACAGCCCCAAGAGGGAGTCACACAGGTGTTTCCAACAATGCACTGCTGACCTGTAGAGAGGAGCCATTTGTGGGAAGGGGCAACAAGTGGACTTTGTTCCACTTCCAACAAGTCCTACTAAGAAGGCCCTTTCCAAGAGACTTGAATTCCAGCTCCTACACACCCAGGGAAGGCAAGCTGACAGTCATTATCTTGGGCAAGTGCTGCCCAAAGAAGTAATCTTCAGGGAAGTCCAATGACCTCACGTGCCCCAAAGCAGAGGTACAGGGTGTTTCACCCAGCAGCCAGGCCCATGTTTGATTTCTAGCTGTTGGTGTTCACCCTTGCTGGCATTTATCTACTCCCCTGAGCTTCAACCTTGGCTGACAAGTCCCCGGAGGCCTGCTGTTCTCTAGAGGAAGGTCCCTTCATTTTCTACACCTGGTTGTGTGTACTTTTCCCTCTAATGACATCCCCAGATACTGGAGTCCCCGATATTGTGTGAGCCCTTCCCTCTCTGGTCGCACTGCCCTGGTGGAGTTCCAAGAGAAATGTTTCCTCCCTATCCTCTCTGACACTGTTTTCCCTCTAACTGCCTAATTGTCTATTTGCTGTTCATGTGCAGAGGTGATGAACCCAGCATACTTGCCATTTTGACCCTGCAGGAACTCTAACTTTCCAGTTACGTCTCCCAAAATTTCTGAACTTAGGCTCTAGACTTTTTTGCTTCCTGTCTGTTGTCAACAGGTCTAGTTTTCTCATACTTCCTATGCTCATCCAGTTCCCTCTATCTAGAATGACTATGTCTTTATTCTCTATCTTTTCTAGTCCAAATTAATTACTCAAGACTCAGCTTGAACTTTTAAGTGGTTTGCCAATACCTGCCTCATTCCATTCAGAAATTAGTCCCCTTCCCTATGTTTCCAAATTATTTATGTGAGTAGTATTTATTGCAATACACACATTCATGAACATGAGCCGTCTAGCTCCTCTAAACTGACAGCATCTTAAATTCATTCCAATAAATTCAGCACACTGCAGGAAACAAAGTAGGCAATCAACAAATGAGAACGAATGAACAGGTAGGTGATTACTTTGTGTTGCCATTCAGTAGCTTCCTCTTCCTTTTTCTTCTTGGCTTCTTCCAGAAGTGCAATCTTGGCAGTAAATTCAGCAAGCTCTGCTGCCTAAAATAAATACAAATGCCAATACTAAAAAACTTAACGTAATTCCAGTATTTTATATTAAGTCAATAAAGTTTTTGTTGAAGTACACGCCTGGGCTATTTTATATATTTTTTCTTACATGATACTCCTCCATTTAAAAGAAGATAGTGTATGTTTTTAAGATTTTAACTTATTTAAATTAGTAATAGCTATAAGGAACTAATAAGCTAATAAGGAGACAAAGTGAAAAACATTTATTATTGCACAGATAAGCAGCTATCCTCTACCAGCAGCAGTAACTTAAAATATGGGATATAAGACATACTTTATAACTCTTATCAATAAAGTATTTGTTAAAGCCCACAAGAGAGAAAAGTATATAATGTTTAAAAAGCACTTTATCAAATCACTCATCAACAATTCCATTAGCTAGCAGTATATCTTTTTTCAAAGGGAAGAATCTGAGGTTTAGAAAGATTCAAAAAGACACATAAGTAAATGCCTAACCCAACATTTAAATCTAGGATTATGCCCACACATAATTTACAAGTTTACTAAATAAAAAAATCCAGCAATCAAGAACTATAGACATAATATAGGGGTTAGATATTTTATCAATTTATCTAATGCAAAGCACGTCTATGCCTAGGCAAAGTCTACCTGAATCTGAATCTTTTTTTGGCAATAGGTTCCATTTATCTTTTATTCTGCTTTCTTTGTAGGGTTTTTTAATTGTTGTTAAAGCAGAAACAAAACTTTAGACTCATTTTCACACTTTGTTATTAAGTTACTTGCATCTTTGGCTTGCTTTCCAAAGGTATGACAGGCTTAATTTTCAATGTTCACTCCATGCTTTTAAGTTTTCCTTGTTTAAGAGAGAACTAAGCCAGGCTCCTTACCAGTTGCTCCTGATTCTTCATCTGGTCAGCAGCTTGTTTTGCAATAGCAGACTTGGCTTCTTCAGCAGCTCGACGCTCCTTTTCAAGCCTTTCTGCTTCTTCCTTTGCTCGTTTTCGTTCCTGGTCCAGTTCTAGAGCTTTTCGAGTTTGTTCTTCTAGTTCTATCAAATACATGTATAACATGTTGGAATAATTTCAAATTCTATTATGCACATTATCAAAAGAAGCCTATATAGTGCAAGGAATCTATTCTATACAACTTCTAAAAGCTACCATTTCTGTATGAACACATACCATCCTTACTTGACAAAAGCATAATCACTTAAAATTAAGTCTGCTGCATCAATTCAAAAGTGGGAGAAATGAGAATTCTCTGGAACTAATATTATATCATAAAGCTAAAAGCTCATCCTGGGTCTTCCCTGGTGGTGCCGCATGTCAAAGCCCACCACTAAGAAGCTAAAGCCACTACAGCACCTCCCCGCCCCGGAGGTGATCCACATGGTGCAGCAGACCTCTCCTGACCTGCCATGTACTTGAATCCTCTCACCACCCCTGCACCTCTGGCATGTACCCCAGCTGTGTATAAATAAATAGATAAATTTTAAAAAAAGAAGCCCATTGTTTACTTTTGAATAAAAATAACCTTGCTGAAGGTCTGACCTAAACAACTTGCTATCTGCTTTAAAAATCTACAATACACAGTTTAAGATTGGCAGAAGTTTTTGCTTGTATAAACTATGTTTTAGATAAGTAAATCCTAAATATTGACTGAAAATAATACTAACTCAAAATAGGAATGTTGATATGAATTAGATGAGTTATTGAGAATTTTGAGTTACTGGTTCAATCTATTCCTCAAGTACAAGTAATATCTGAATATGAATGATACAAATTTTAATCCTTATGTGTACAGATTGTATATTCTTTTCTTGTTCTAATGAGTGTAATGGGAAGGAAAATACAACACAAAGCTATAAAGTTTTAAATGAGTTTAGTTATTTTAAAGCACAATTCTAGTTTAGTAATAGGAAATTCTGTGACATAATACAACTGAATGTGCTATGAAACTATTAAATGAGCACTGAATAACTCTCCCTTGGGAAAAACTGAAAAATCTGTCTTAAGATCTGAAAGTGAACTATAATGCACGAGTTATCCCTTAGTGTTCTTATTTTTGTTGGTCTTGGTCAGAACTAACCTAAGTAACTGCAGTTAAGATGGTAAAGAAAACTGATTCCTGTTAGATTTTAATTCTTGATAAAATAACACAAAATTCTAATGGATTATTTGGCTATAAAAATGAACTGTAAATAATGGATTACTACAATTAAATTCTAAGATTACTTATTTTAAAATCTGCCTTATAAAATCTGGACACTAGGCTAGTTTACCAAACTTTATCATTTTTCCCAATTGGCTGACTAATGTTTCATAAAGCCAAGCCTACAAAAGTCACTGTTCTATCAGTCATCTAAACAGGCCAACAAATAGCTAAAGAAAAGTTCACAAATAAAAACAATGCTTTACTTTTTCTTTTTACAAACTTCTTTCTGTACCATGGGACAAGAAAGAACAATAAATCTGATTACAAACTTAAACTTTAAAATATTCCCCATTATTATTATCAATCAGACTTTTATAATCAGTATCAACGAGAATGATAAACATGTCAGCAGTTGTTTGGTGGTAGGTTAAAAATTATATAAATATTTCTTTAAATGTTGAAAGTGAACTGAAGACTGAATCTACTCTAGTGTCCTCTGGAAAGTAAGGGTTTGAATAGACATATATCCCATACATGACCTTGGCTGTTTCTTTCCGCTGGAGTTAATTGAGTTAGAACTGAGATCATCAAACTATGACATACTTCATCAAATCCAACCCAAAGCCTTACTTGTGTAAACAAAGTTTCACTGGAACACATAGCCTCTTTCAATGGGACTACACAATACCATCCATTGTTTAGGGATCATGTAAGACGCCTTGCATGTTGCAATGGCAGAGCTGACAGCTGTAACAGAGGCAGTGCAGCCTGCAAAGCCTGAAATACTTATTTACTACCTGGTCTCTTACTTGCAAACCTATGAATTAGAATAGTCCCATGAAACAAATGTCCTTCTGGAGCTCAAATTCATTTAAGAACTCCTGCATAGAAAGGTAAGATGAGAAAGTTGGAAATTCCAGTATTATTTGATTTTAAAAAATCAGAACCTGTAATATTTGAAGGATGGCACTTGGGAAGAGGGCACCAAGAAATCTGGCTTCTGTTAACATATCAACTCTTTCAGGACAAAGGTTAAAGTTTAGAAGAATGAGGTGTTTCCCTCACTGTGTTATACTGATGTAGGTGGTGCGATGTTCAACTGAGTAGACCAAGGAAATTACTGTTAAGTTCAACCTAATAAACTTTATGAAAGTCTCTCTTTCTCAATCAGGCTTGAACACAAGTATCATTTGTTTTTGACAGGCCTATGACTTTGCAAGCTTTGTTAGCTTAAGTTATTTAGAGGGCAAATCCTGAAAGTTACATATTTCTGTAACAGTATTAGTAAAAACTATCCCAAAAGGATTATGGATATTTCTTTCTTGTCCCCATCTAGGAAAACAGCTTATTAAATGTCAAAGTTTTAATACTGGGGAAAGCACTAATATTATTATAAAACAAAAGCAGGCAAAAGTTTCACAATCAAAATTCTTAGATGTTATAGAATTAAGAATGTGATTATAAATTACTCACTGGAAAAACAAATTTTAAAATATGTGTGATACATCTAAGTAATGATTATGATACCATTTTGAAAAGAAAGCTCTCTACAAATGCATCTGAAGTGATTTTCATGATTACAAATGAAAACAGCAAGGTGAAAAAGAATGTATGTGTTATGTACCTTTTGTGTAAGAATGAAGTTGAATCAGGAATATATCCTCATGGATTTGTTTTTGTATACAAAAAACAGGATATGTACTATTCCCTGTATATCATGACTTAAAGAGTTACTGCATCTGAAGGTGAATTTAGAATAAATTACAAAACAACCACACAGATTTTAGGAGTCTGAGAATGCTTTATTATTAGAAACAAACAAATGGATAGGTCTTTGGATTGAGATGACTTATTTGAAACTGTCTTGACAGGGATGCTCTATAGGTTTTCTAATATTCTATCTTCCTTAGACTCTTTAGCACTTCTTTACTTGAGTAGCTTTCAGTATGTCACTATTATTTTTACTATATACCCTAAATAAATGAAAGTTTCAGTAAGTAGCCATTCTATTAGAAAGGTATTATATAAATGAAAAGTGCTTGAATTCATTGTTTTTTTAAAGTTCAGATCAGTACTATAACTTCTTTAAATTTTCCCTTTTTAAAAAAAGTTTAGTGCATTCAAGATTTCAAGTATTCCTCCCTAAAATACAGCTTATACTATCCATCATGGCACTTAGTCCTCATTGCCTCACTATTAATATATGCACATCTTATTGCTGCCAAACACACAGAATTCACTTCTGTGCATGCGTATATTTGTACTCCTAAAATGTAGTTGAAGTCAAGCATTAATTCTAGTTATAAATGGTGTAGATTTCATGTTAGCTCCCAGATCCTACTGCTTAGGAAGGACAAAGTATTTTACTTTGCTCCATACCTTTTTTCTTTTGTTCTCCCCAGAATTTGTGGTTTTAAACTTATGTATTCTAGAGTTACTTATATAAATCTCACACTCTGAAGTCAATGCATTGTTCCTACTGCGTAAGCATTTGGCTTACACACTAAGTTCTTCCAAACATGTTACCAAACCAAATCCTAACACTTCCAGGTATATATAATATACTGAACTCAAAGTTAGAGATTGTTCCTAAAGAATTTATATAGTTGGAAATAGCTTAAAATGCTTTAAATTACCTACATGCCTTAAAGTACATTAAGTTCTCACTTGAAGTGGAAAAGCGGCTAGAAATAGGGACTGTTAAGTGAAATGACATAATGAAACCTAACCTCCAAATAATATTGGTTTGGTCAATATTGACCCCCATTTTTTTTGTCTTATCAATGTTATAATGAAATAACATCAATGAAACCATACTAGTCAAAGACTAGCTGTATATAAATATATAGCCCTACATAAATACTTTTGTTTATATGGAACCCTAACATTAGGAAGAATAAAGTATACACATTTAAAATATATGTTAAGAATGCAAGTGAGAGGGCCCTCCCTGGTGGTGCAACAGGTTAAAGCACAGCACTGTGAAGCTACTGGCAGCCACCAAAGCACGAATTGGATCTCCAGCCAGAGAGCTGACCCACGTGGTGCAGCAAACCTTTCCTGACCTGTCCACTGCTCCCCTTAGCAGTGTATTTTAGTAGATCTACCTGTTGTGCTCCCTACTCTGTCTCTGGTGAATCCTGTCACCACCCCTGCACCTCTGGCCTGCACACCAGTTTTTGTATGCATAAAAAAATCTTTAAAAAAAATACACGAGAATATTTGAGTGTTCAAGTAAATGAAAAGAATACGCAAGTACTATATAGCTGAATGTGCCTTAAACATGTTTATGATTCTACTACATATTTACTTAACAATTAAATGTAATTATTCTATATAAGAAAGTAAGATTTAACAGACTAGAACAATTTTTAACACAGTCAAAAAGAAGTCTTTACCTTTCTGGGCTTTCATTGTCTGCTCTTCAATTTGCTTTAGACGTTCCATTAGCTCTTCCTTTTCACGTTCTATTCTTTCCTTTTCTTTTTCTGCTATTTCTCTTTTCTTCTTTTCATTCTCTAACTGTGCCCTTGAAAGGAATTACAATTACTGTTACAAATTCATAAAAAACAGTCTAACTGCTATAAATCAAGAAGAAACTACAACATATTTTGAATCATTATAGTCACCTGTGTAAAAATACTCATATAGTTAAAAATACAGGAATGTGCTGTTACATACACATATATTATTTAACATGTAGTTTTTATTGTAGGGTCACAATAAATACAGTCAGAGACCATTCTGAAAAATACTAATATTTAATTTTGGGAAGATTCTGAAAGGACAAATTTGCAAAACTGTTAGGAAAGTACAACTGTCAAATATATCCCTGGTATGCCATGGGATAAAGCCCATGTTTTTAATGGAGACTTAACTGGGGGTGGAAACTGAAGGGGAGAGACAGACTTGCAACTTGCACAGTGAATTAACTTCGATGACAAATGTATACAACAGGACAAAACCTCAGCCACTCTGCAACCTCATCACATCCAGTGCTGCCTCACTTCAGCAAGATATTCCCCTTCCTCCCTGGTACTGAGACAATGCATAAGGACTCACACCACAAACCACATTTCAACACCGGAAAGCTACAATCACATTCCATAAATTCAGAACCCTTTAAGGCTCAGCTATGGCTCACACAGCCCGTCCTAAAGATGAGCACTGTTTTTCCCTACTGGTGGTTCATTTATTCCTCCTCAAAGAGAGATTAAAGATGGGGGGGAAAACGAAGGTAATGTGTAATTTAAGAGAATAAATGTAGTTGCTCTACTGAAAACTGAATAAATGTATAGAAGGATTAAATTGATTATAATATCTAAAACATTCTGCAGTTTAGTCGGCCATACTATTATGAAGCTTACGTCTTAGACTTTGTAAAAATACTCCCTTGATAACAACTATCATCAACCTGCACTCCATTCAATTAATACAAATAGCTTTGGATTCACAAACCCCTTAGTGATACCTCGACTTGCAGGCCTGTCTTGTCTCCCTTAGAAAATTGGAAAAGCTTGTTTCTCTCAAACACTGTTCACAGGGGGGAGGGGCACCAGTCTGGTCCATTCACTGGCCCCTGGACATGCATTTTCATAAAGCTATGCATTTATGTTGGCTTCCTCTTCCGAAAATATCATTCCCCTCTAATTCTCAAGCCTATTCCTAACCATTAACTCTTAGTAAACTCCTACTTTCTTCTTATAATTACATAAATAATCTCTTTACAGTTTAGACTTGGTAACACCTATTTTACCAAATGTTCTACTTATAAATAACATGTTCATAAACTATCAATTCTCTCTCCTAACAAGCAATCATTTTTTTTTTTTAATTTTAAGGATATCAGATAGGTCTAACTACATTGTTCTTAAGTGAAAATTAAAAACTTGAATACTCAACTCTCAATTATTAATATTATTAGCATATTAGTTAATGATATAGTCATTAGTATTGAAGTACTAATATATTAGCTAATATTAATATTAGAATTATTATAATGACTATTTGTTTTATTAAATACTAGGTACTTTACTATATGTATATATAACACTGTCACTGTTTCTCAAACAAGTCCTTGATGGTAAGACTATTATTGTCATATTAATGGCAAGAGATTGGCAATTCAAAAGTTGTTTTTTCAACAAGTGTCAAGAGATCCAAACCCAGGCTTATCCAGGTCCAAAGCTTATGTTCTTTGAATGATACCAGCTGTCCCATTGATACAGAGAGCAGCCATGACACAGAATACCACACAGCTAACCTATGGTAAACTACAATATCCAAAACAGTATCAGTGAATAAAATGCATGAAAAAAAAGCATATTTGTGAAGTCATGAAAAGCTTTTTTCCAGAATGTCAGGTTTCTTTTCTTTTCTTTTTTTTTTTTTTTTTAATATTTATTTATCAGTACATACAGAGCTAGGGTACAGGCCAGAAGTGGAAGGGCAGTGAGAGGATTCAGCAGAGACAGAGTGGGGAACAAAACAGACAGATGAGGGAAGTACACTGTTGAGGGGAGCAGTGGGTGAAACAGGAGAGGTCTGCCACACCATATGGGTCACCTCCCGGGCTGGGGATGGGAACTTGCACTGAAGAGGCTGCAGCTAGCTTGCAATGCTGCACTTTAACCAGCTGTGCCACTAGGGAGAGCCCAAGAATATGTCAGATTTCTAACTTGAAAATTATATATATTCATTTTGAAAGAGGATACTGACAATACACTCATTTAATTTTAATGCAATAAAAATAATGTGAAGGTATAAATATAAGAGTATGTTAAAAAAATGAGCATTGTAAATTTTTTTTTTTTAAGATTTATTTATTTACTCATACAGAACTAGGGTACAGGCCAGAGATGCGGAGGGTGAGAGGATTCACCAGAGACAGAGCGGAGAGCAGAACAGGCAGATCGACAAAGTACACTGCTGAGGGGAGCAGCGGGCGGGTCAGGAGGGGTCTGCCGCACCATATGGATCTCCTCCAGGGCAGGTGGGGATCGAACTCGTGTGAAAGTGGCTTCAGCTTCTCAGTGCTGTGCTTTAACCCGCTGCGCCACCAGAGAGGGCCAGAGCATTCTAAATTTTAGACAGCCCATTTACCAACTGAAGAGTGCAATGACTATGCATTCCATACCTTTCCAACTGCTTCTGATGTTTCTCCTCCCGTGCCTGAGCTTTCATTTGCTGTACTTCAATAGTATCTGGCTTCCTTCTTCTCATGTACAATTCATGGTTTCCCATACATAAGGCCAAAATCCGCTTATTGATTCTTAGACGAGGCGCATAAAAAACAAAATCCTAAACAAAATATTCTGAATTTAAAATCTTCCTATAAGAGTCTCTCACAATACTTTCTACTAGATTTCAGAATGTTACTAATTCTAATGTCATATTACATATAGTTTATAAATAATAACATTTTATAATTCCTAGTGTGTACCATGCTTTTTCATAACTGGTTTCTCACTTTTTATCCTCCCACCAATTTTTGTGGGGAGTTTTATGTTTTTATCCTTTAATTACATTAAATTTCATTTATTCTTTTTTCTTCTCCAAAGTAATTGAGTTTCCAAAACTAGAAATGTTCTTTTGTCTTTTTAAAAACTGAGTGAGAATATCAGATAATGTTTAGATACAAAGAGTTAAGTTAAAACCTCCCAGTTACAAAAATAGAAAGTTCATGAGACAAAGCTTTATAATCAGAGTTAATTTAAAATAGGGTTATCTCTACCACATTCTAGACAAATACTATAAGAAACAAGTTTAATAATGTCTTAGAATGGTGACTATTTTCAACAACCTATGATTAAATATTACCTACCTCATAATTGAATCCAGTTAAAATAAAGCTAATATTTATATGTTGCAAAAAATTAAAACTTGTACTTTTTATATCATTCACTATTTTATCACTGGGAAAACAAAAACAATAGAGAATGTTCTTCAGGAGCAATTTAATAAATCAATGATATTATGCTTCCAGCAACATAATAGCAAAGTGATAAATATTTAGAAGTTAATGCATAAAAACATGAAACAATTTTACTTACGGGTGCTTTTTTGTCGATTGGCTTTATAACAAATTTCTTGTCATTAAATGAAATATTTCTGATTTCACTCCAGGGAAAACCAATTTTAGGTGTTAACCTTAAAAAATAAAAGCATCTTTTTTAATTAAAAGAAAGAAACAATGAACCAAACCCATACCTTTGCATGGGGGCCAATTCTGCTGGGTGACCAATAGAAAAAGTTCAAGATTTTCAAGTCATAGTAACTTATTCATAATGTATTTCTTTAAAGGAGCTACTTGATCAGCTAAAAAATCACATGAGGGCCCTCCCTGGTGGCACAGCAGGTTAAGGCACAGCACTGAGAATCTAAAGCCGCTTCCGCATGAGTTCGATTCCCGCCTGCCCCGGAGGTGACCACATGGCGTGGCAGACCTCTCCAGACCGGCCCGCTGCTCCCCTCAGCAGTGTACTTCGTTGATCTGCCTGTTCTGCTCCCCAATCTGTCTCTGGTGAAGCCTCTTACCACCCCTGAGCCTCTGGCCTGTACCCCAGTTCTGTATGCACAAATAAATAAATCTTTAAAAAAAAAAAATCACATGAAAACAAGCAGTAACTCAAGCAGACTAAGAACTGCAACTGGGCAGTGTTTCTACACAGCATTTCATCCACTATGTATGCATTTCACTGCCCTTCACTGAGATATGTTAAAGCTAAGAGTTTTAAAGAGTTCTATACTACATTTACAAAATGTTACTTTGCAAAATTTTGAAGTTATATGTTCATATAATCCCACAAAAATCTTGTGAGAAGAGCCCAATAGCTGTATTTATTTTACAAAGCCAATAACCTGAATGAGGTCACAAAATAGGGCTTTAGAAGAACCTAAGGCTTTTTTAAAAAGAACTTCAAATGTAGTAGATGAACACATTCTCATTATAAAGATAAACTAAACTATTTCAGATCAGATTTAGGTACACTCTGACCACAATTCCCAATCCCTATCCCTCCTTTACTGAATTAATCCTCTCATATTCCCTTATGTTTACATATATATACATATATACATATATATAACTATGCATATTCTAATAGAAACTCAGTAAATTTTAAAAGAGGAAAAGATTTGGTCTAAAAAGTTAGCCTTGAAAACATTTTTGTTTTTCAAAAATGTCAAGTTTTTATTTCTGGATACAGAATTTTCATTATAAATTAAAAAAACATGAGAGCATAAAATCAGTAACATACTCTTTTGGAGTCACTATATTTAGAAATGTGCGTTATCTATCTATAATAATGAAACTAAATTTTAAAGTCAGCCCAGAGTGTTGAGAAATGCATTTATGAGAAGGTGTTAATGGCACAGACTTGGAATGTTTACATGGACTAGTAAATAAATTAATGGTAAAACGCAATTTCAGCTATTACTCCTGAAAAGTGCCATAAATGTCTGATATATATTAATATAAAAATACTGGGTCAATCTCCAAATAAACTTACACTATTCACTAGGCATAAAATAGGGACATTCTATTTTATTAAAAACAATCACACTATAAATGCTAAAAGTATTACAAAACATTAAGTCATAATCTATTAATTCTATTTTCTCGCTGATCTTAATTTCTTAGATGATCATTTCGATTTTAAATTACATATCAAGAATAAAATTTAAACAAGCATCCTTCATTGCTTGAAGAAAAACATTTTGACAAAAAGGCAAACAAAACAAAAAGCACTGACTCACAAACTATCAAAAAGCACACTTCAAAAAACAGTAAATAATCTTATTAAATAAATACACTAAGGAGGAAAACTCTGATACTGAAAATTGTTGAGAATATAGATGCAGAATATCTTAAAATCTTTGTGGCATTAACTAATCTTTTAATTGGTGGGGAAATGTAGTTTGAGTATTCAAGCCAAAAAAAACTTTACAAAAAGAATACTAACACTATAGGTCACAGAATGACTATGTCAGTATGCAATTAATTTACTTACTTGTCATCATGCTCATAAATATTCAGGCCCAAAGCATCAACACCTAGCCACAATTCAGTTCCCTTTTTATTTTTTATTTCAAAATAGTTGACTCCATACATTTCCAGGTCCTGTGCAATCTTCAGGTATTCCATCATGGAATCTTCCCTGTTGAAATAAAGCTTATTGTAATGTACAGGTATCTAACACCAAACAAATTACAAAATACTTTGGATTAAATTAATCGTTATATTTATTCATGTATCTCTTGGGAACTATCTAATGAAATAATAAATGTTATGAAACAAAAATACTTTAATTTGAGGAAAAACTCTAAGACAATAGCCGTCCCAATACCTTAGCATTCCTCTATGTTCTTCATGCCAGGTCTGTATTCTTTCTTCCCACTGCTCTTTTGTCAATTTGTGTTGTTCCAAAACACTATAAGGAAATCAAATCTATGAAAACACCTCTCTGACTCACATATCAGTATTCTTTTATAAATCTAGAATCATTCATTACCTTAACTGTGGTATGTTTGGCATACAAGTCTATGCATATGGTACAAGTGCAAAAACTAATAAATACACACATACAAATAACAACATGTAAAATTGTTAAAATCTGAGTAAGGCTGGTAGACTGTTTCAATACCTTGACTGTGTATTGTACTAAGGTTATGCAAAAGTTATGCATTAGGAAAGATTGTATGCAAATCTACATTTGTCTCAAAATTTGAAATTACTTTAAATAATAATTTCTAAAAAGTCAGACAGAGAAAGACAAATATTGTATTTCACTCACATTTGCAATAAAAAACAAAGCAAACAAAACACAAACTCAAAGACAGAGAACAGACTGGTGGTAACCAGAAGGGAAGGGGCTTGGCGAGTGGGTGAATGGTCACCTGCATGGTAGTGAATAGAATGTAGCTGGGGAAGACTATGATGTATTGTATACAGATGTTAAATTATAATGCTATACACAGGAAACTTTATAATAAGCTTCTACAATGTTACCTCAATAAACATGTATTTCCAAAATAGTTATAGTAGTGGGAATTCAAATGAATAAAATACCAAAAAGAGAAAATAGTTTTAGTAATAAAAAAATTAGAGAACATACTTATAAAAAATCAGAATTTGGGCTATAATTCTTCTTTTACTCTACATATTTCTTTTTGTTTCTGCTAAATTTAGTTTTGCTATTATCTACATAGGTAATACTTCATATGACAACATATATGTGAAGACATGTTTTTTCCACCATCCTTTTCCCTCCAAATAACCTTTTATTAGTTTTTTGGGGAAGGTAAATTTCCACTGTATTTGATGCACACAAACATAATTTCTATTAACATTTTAACACTAAATCTGCATATTTAACATGCTATGCACACTATATATTATAAATTTCTATTCTCTTTGGGTCACATGATGGCTAAGTATCCACTTCTCTTTTACTGGTGAATGCTCCAATTATGATAGCAAAAAGTGGTGTTAAACTATTACTGCCTCATGTAGCAGACTTCTCCTATCTTGCCCACTGCTCTACACAAAAATAAACCTTAAAAAAAGTTACTGCCTTAGCCTTACTATGTAAAAATTATATGAAACTCGGGGATTTCTTGGCAGTTAAGGAATCTTAGGATGGATGTATCTGCCCTTGGAGAAATTCTCTCAGTGCTAGCACTGAAGAGATACTCAAAAGAATGTAGAGTGAAAAAAGGAATTAAAATAAATGATTATTACTCACTGTTTGAACAATGAATCTGTGTACCTCTACTCCTAGCTTTCCTTATATCCCAAGCCCTTTTCAAGAACTTACCCACATGTACTATCCTGTATTTCCATTCCTCATATCCAGTGCCACTGCTCACAAAATGATTTCAATTCTCAACACTACTGAAACTGCTCTCTCATCAATCTTCTATTGCTAAATAATAGACATCAGATCTATTTATACTTGACCTGTTTGTATCTGACACTGTCAACCAGTCTGTCCTTAAGGCACTCTTTGCTTAACTTACTTTTGCGTAACAACCACTCCCCCCACCCCAACCCCGTCTTATCTATCTGGCCATTTTTTCTCAATATTCTTTACTGAAATATTTTCCTTTGTATTTCCAAGTTTCAACAAGATCTATTCTAGGACTTGTCTAACTCTGCATGTACTTTCAGGTCCAAATCTTCATTACCATGAATTAATTATCTATTTGCAGATTACTTCCAAAAACTGTTATGTATAGTACAGACTTTTCCAAGAAAAACACATCCACAAATGAATACTATTTTTCTTAATTATACTCTTAATATTTTAAACTCAACAGGTTTAAAACTAAGATCTTTCTCCTCCAAAATGTATTCCTTCTATCTGTAATCACTTAATTGCCCAAGTCAGAATCCTGGAATATGAAAGTTTATGCATACTTAGCCCTTTTAAAATAGAGAGCTACTACACAGTAGTGGTGATTATCCCTATAATCAATGAATTTAACCCTACTTGTGAGAATAGACTGCTTCTCTGAGTTTTCAATATAAAAATTAAAAGCTTTCATCAAAATTATCAAATTATTTTGTTCAACTTATGACCACCAAATAACCTTCAGCTTACTAATTTTCCTCCAGATACTCAATGAGCCATAGTTATATTCCATATGCAGAATAAATCAATCACTGCAAAGTTATTTGCTCCATTCTAAATCGAAATATTCTGACATTGTCTCTTTTTCAAACTTTAATAGCTTGAACTAGTCCTCCTGAGGCTACCAACCTGAATACCTGACTGGACAATGAAAGTTAAAGAACAAATTTTGAAGAACATGCACAACTTTCCTTTAAAAGAAAGATTACAGAGAATAGGCATTAAAAATAAAGAAATGTAAGAAATTGTACTTAAATGTGATTTCAGTGATTAAAAGATTTTTCTTTAAATCACATAACTACTAATGTAAGCCAATTACTTTATCTGCTGTTCAACCAACAGCTATCTGATCTAACTACCTACATTGTAAGTGATGAGCTAAAGCATACCTAGTCCTTTAGAAACAAGCAAGACATTTTAAGCGTTATTTTTATTACGCATAATATTTCATAATATTTACCTTAGGTGCTGATTTCACAATCCTCTTTACATCTTACCATAAATAATGTCTAAATAAAAATTAAAAACTAATGTACATCTAAAGTGCCAATAATTACTTAATTTAGTACTTTAAAAATCTGAGACAAAGAATTTTGGGCTGCAATAATAATCAAAACCAGAGAAAGACTAAATAGGTATCTCACATTATTTGACTGTTATGGGAACAGCATACATTATTTTATTCTCTAGGGTAACTTATTTCTGTAATACTAAAGAGCAGAACAGTGTAATATTTAATAATCAAATGTTAGATATCACACTTCATGGTATCTTACAATGGCATACATAAACAGGATAGCTTGCAAGCCAAAAATAAGTGTTAATACTATAACCAAAGTAAACCAGTAAAAATGGATGTGAGATAGCTTTGTCTTTCTTCATATTTATAATCTGTTTAAAAGAAACTATCCCTAAAAGCTGAATACTGAAGTTTAGTTTAATAATAGTTTTGCATCAAAAGGACTTAAAACAATAACAATTTCTCTCCAGTTCTGAAAGATTTTCATATACATTCCAATACCAGGAACATGTATGCTACTGAGATATTTCAAAATAACATTTCATGTTAATTTTCTATATTTCATAAATAATGCTGCTTATTAATACATGTATCACAATTTATATTTAAAACTATAGAGTACACATAAATCATGAAGTATGAGGTGGGTATAATATAAAATTATGATCCCAATTTTACAGATTTAGATGCTGAGGTACAGATATTATTAGAGGCTACACACCTAAAGTCATATAACAAACACAGAATCAATACTCAAAATCTAAATCTTCTGTCTATGAGTTTTTTCTTATGTCACACTCATTTAAGATAACCATTATAGAGGCAGCAATGCACTGCAGTTAGTTAACAGGGCACCAAAGTATGTGAAAACCAACGTTAACAGGCCCTTTAAAAAGTTAGAAACTTAATTTTAATTTAGGAGGAAGCATACAATGTATTAGTTCCAAAAGCACCTATCTGCCTATATAAGAATTTTTATTAAGCACCAACAGTCAGTCTCCCCCAGGTAACAAATTACCTTTACCTCCACTTATTGCTCATCCTACAGGAATGAGAGGAGGCAGAAAGTTCAGGAAATTACACAATAATAAAAGTATATAAATCATTGAGCTGTGGGTCATAATTTTCAAAAAGTAGCTGGTAACTTCAAATCTGAAAGTAAGAAACCTATTTACAAACTTGCAAAGAATTTTTCAGAGAACCTACCAAAAAGCATGTTTTACTTACCGCTGGGGTAGAAGTCTATCATTAGCCAGGTAGCCTGGTTTATGAATCTCTTTACTATAATCGCCATACTTTGCCTGGACTGCATAGGAAGCCAAAAGAACTGCAGTTTCTGGTGGGCAATAAATCTCATCATTTAAGATAGCTTCTTTAACTTGCAAGAAGAAAAGTCTCTGCGTTATTTCTTGAATCAATTCCTCAGAAACATCTTCTGGAAAGAATTTAGCTCTAAATTTGAACTGTAAAGGATTCTCTTTTTTAACGTCTTGCTGTGTCACCTGGAATAGATTTCATGTATAGTCACTAAAAATTTTAAGTGCACAATAACTAAACTTAGACACATCCAATTTATTCTGGAAGAAAGCAGGATGTGAAACGTAACGCTCTAAATCAGTAAGAGTTTGTTATGCAATATTCTAAACCTTTATATGTAAGAAAAAAGATCCAAGCTCATAAATATAACCTCAAACTCACAAATCCTAATAGCCAAACTAAAAGTTCTCTTTAAAGTCTTTCTTGCAAATGCTTAAAATCAAAGTATTATGCTAAAACTAGTATTTCTTATGTGCTACGTTTCCAAATAATGCTTTACTGTATAAAGACACTTGAGTCTCCTAATGATTCTTACAGCTAGCAGCAAAAGTATGCTTACAATCAGCCAGATCATGAACTTTTCCATCAAAAATTCATGAGCATTATTTTATAGCAACTTAATTATTAACTAAATGTCATCTGACATATTTTACCTTTTTATTTAGTTTAAGCCATGTAGAATAACCTTTACTGTCCACATACTGCAGCCCAAAAAACCAGACTTCACGTAAACCAACTGTTTTCACCACCTTAAAAAAAAAAGTCAATTTCAGTTCAATGTTCAGAGTATATAACTAGATGGCACTATACTCCAAGAAAAAAGAAACAGTAAAACTACACAGATATTATAGGCATATTACTTTCCCATTAAAAAAAAAGCAAAAAAAGATTCTGCCTAAATTTACCATATTAATGGTAATCCAAGAAACTTAAATTTAAGTAATGTATTATTAAAAAAAAACTTGTAGGCCCTCCCTGGTGGCGCAATAGGTTAAAGCACAGCACTAAGAAGTTAGTCACTTCAGTATGAGTTTGATCCCCCACTCCGGGGGTGATCCAAATGGCACAGTAATCCTCTCCTGACCCATCCACTGCTCCCCTCAGCAGTGTATTTCAGTCAATTTGCCTGTTCTGCTCCCCACTCTGTCTCTAGTAAATCCTCTCACTGCACCTGTGCCTCTGGCCTGTACCCCAGTTCTTGTATACATAAATAAATCCTTTAAAAAAAAAAAAAAAGGGAAGAAATTTCCCAAGAACTTAAATTTTTTTATTGTATCATATTCTGGGGATCAATAGGTAAGGAAATGACACCTAAAAAAAAAAAATCCCAAAGCACCGATATCTAATATGCTCTTTACTGTTATCAAGTCAGAAACTCTCCTATTTTCTAAGGTCCAGTTAGTTCTTTGAAATCATCAATGCACTTTCTTAGTCGCTTGCCCTCTGGGTACCAATCACTTTCCTCTTTTTTTTAAATAAAATTTTATTACATAGAGCATTACCTGGGGAGCTTAAACTTAAAAAAAATAATGGTCACCAGATATTAAAATGAGAATCTCTGGCAATGGTTTCCAATTACTGCCTTTATTTTTTTAAAACCTCCACAAGTGACTCAAATGTGTACTCAAGTAAGAAAAATCACAAAATCAGTAGCCCAAATTCTTGTAACATCATGTTCTAACCCCAAGCTAAAAAACCATGAATCAATGAGATCACACTACTGTAAGGTGCCTACTTAAACCCTGTAGGTAACTCCCCTCCTTATTCCTGCCTTGCCGCTCTAGGATGCCCACACATGAACACAGAACAGCTGAGTTCCTTTTACTCCTCATTACAATGACTTGCACTGCAGCTATTAAATAAATATATACCTGTTACTATAGTTGTTTTTTTTTAAGGTTTATTTTTATTTATTTATACATACAAAAACTGGGGTGTAGGCCAGAGCTGTGGGGGTGATTCACCAGAGACAGAGTGGGAAGCAGAATAGGTGCATCTACTGAAATACACTGCTGAGGGGAGCAGAGGGAAAACAGGAGAGGTTACCATGTGGGTCAGCTCCTTGACTGGGGATCAAACTCAAGCTGCAGTGGCTGGTGATATCTTAATAGTGCTGAGACTAACCCCTGTGCCACCAAGTAGGCCCCCATTGTTTTTTTTAAAAGTTTCCCTGTATCTTTACTGACAACATAACAATGAAACACTAAAATAAATTTTTCATAGTTTCTATTCAGATATATACTGAATAGCTATAGAGGATATTCATATTATTTCTTGTTCCTAGATTTGAAGTGTATGATTTAAAGTACTAAGAAAAATTGCTTAATTGCTTCATTGTTACGTTGTCAGTAAAGGTGTAGGAAAGCTTAGACAGATACAAAAGCATCCATACAATGCTGGCAAAACCTGCATACTTCATGTGCTAGAATAATACCTGGTCAAAGAGTTGTTTGCCAGTTGTATTGGGCTGAATGGCAAATTCCAGTTCAGCATCCATTGTAGTTACTCTTACATTGATCTGCAATAACAACAAAAGGATAAGCAGTAGGAAAGAGAATATACTTATTACTAATATTTGTAGGCAGTGAAGGTCAAATGCATATTTGTATATATTTTTTCTTATTAAAACAATAGTTTGCATTTAGTCACAGGAAATCTTAAATTTGTGAAAACCAGTTGTTTTAAAAACATTTATTGAATACTTGACATAGTATAGGTACTAAGTTGGTAGGTTTCCATTTTCTCTTTTAGACCCTGCAAAAATATGTTCTTTTTTATTTAGTCAGTTTTTTGTGTGTGTAATTTGTGAAATCTGTATCAACATTTATGTTTCTGTATGGATAACACTATGCTCCGACACCATTTGTTGGGATGAATTTTATTTTACCAGTGAATTTTGACAGACTTTTCAATAATCTAGTTAATATATATATATATGGGTATATTTTTGTTCCACTGATTCTATCATCTATACTTTTGCCAATAGTATACTTGCTTTCATAGTTTGTAAGTGCAAAGACTCAGGAGTGCAAATTTCTCAACTCTGTTTTTAAAAACCTGCTAGAATTGAAGTGACTAGAATTGTATTCAATCTACTACATTTGGGGAGACAATGGCAGCTTAACATTTTCTGGACATGACTATGAATAATGTCTACTGTTCTATATGTTCAAGTCTTTAATGTCTCACAGTTTTCAGTGTGGAGATACTAGACAGATTCTATAAATTTACTCCTAAGCATTTTAATTTTTTGATGCTGTTAAATATGGAATTTTTTTACTTTATTTTTTCAATTTGTTGCTAGAATATAAAAAAGTGATTTTTAAAAATATAACCTTATGCCCAATAACCTTGCTAAACAGTTACTAGCTCACGGTCATTTTGTAGACTCCTGGTTATTTTCTACAAAAATAATTATATCATCTGCAAATAGAAATTTAAAATTTTTTCCTTTCTTATATTTATGCATTTTATTTATTTTACTCTTTTCTCCTCCAACAATGGGTATTGTTAGTGTTGAGTCTTTAAAGCAACTCCAAAGTGATATTCATAACAGAAAATTCCAATAACTATAACCAAAGATTTTCTTAAAATGACTAAGACATGTTATTTAAAAAAAGTTTATTAAATGAATAAAAAATGCTTATTAAATTCCTCTTTATCCTCGAAGGAATTAACCTTAAGTCACAAAATATGTAATTACAAAATTAAGTTAAATTGCTATATATTTAAAAAAGAAATTTTTAGACTATATATAGATATAAAAATCAACATCAGTTATCATCAGCATCAAAACTAGAATCATGAAAACAATAGTATAGACCTTTCCAACCTCTCATTATCTTCTCATTTAACGCACACAAGCGTGCACACGCACACACATGCGCGCACACACCTGTGCTACTGTGACTGAACCCTAAATGTGTATGTATCAGGTTCTTAGTCTTCACCATATTCCCCCGAGTAAAGAAAGAACAGATTATATTTCTGTGAACATACTGTGAAGTTCTGGGAAATACTGCACCCCTCCTTTCCAACTAGCAGACAGGAGATAACAACCATCTGGGTAGGCTTAAAGTCAGAGCCATTTTATTCTGTTCTGTGAAAATTTCCTTAAGAATCTGATGCCTGTGGGTAAATTAAGCTTTCACCTACTACCAATGACCAAGGTGTCAGCTAAAGAAAATTTTCACAATGGGGACCTAGCTTTTGGAGCTCTATATAGCATTCTTCAGAAGTCAGGAAACTAGATTCTAGCTTTTGCCCTCTGCACACAGGCAGCACTGACTTTTCTTTAGGTCATGACAGGAAACGAGAGAATTAAACCTAATGGCAAAAGCAAAAGTCCCTCTTTTCCTCCCATAGGCATAGACTCACTATGCCTCCTCTTCTTCTGCAAGTATGATACTGTGTAACAAAATATGTAACTGAACTAAAACTTGGTATAATACTCCATAGCAAGGTATATAAACATAACTTAAGTTGGTGATAGTGGAAGTTCTCACAAATTAAAATCTGTCAAACTGCCAGGTTTGAATCCTCACTCTGATTAGCTAATAAAAGCATTCTTTAACTATCATTAAGACTTTACTTTCAGTTAAAAGCTCCATTTTATGTGTAAGGAAATTAAAAATTAGAGAGACTGAACTAATCTAGCATTCAGATTAAGTAGCAGAGCCAGGAAATAGGACAGTTTAACCCAACAAGTCATGAGATTTAATCTTTATTACAATGTGGCTGAGACCTTCTCCTTAAGGCCACATAATATTAGGTTCTCGCCATAGTATCTTAAATAGAATATTAATAGCGCCTTTTTTCTTCTTAAGAACACTACCATAATACTTTGCCCTGTTCCAAAAGGAACTTAATGATATTCACATTTTATTAAATCATATCAAAAGTGGTAAACTATACTTACTGGTTTCGGCATCTTGCTTCTCTTTTTGTCTCCTTTACAAATTTTTTACTTTTATGAATTTTGTTTTCACTTCTGTTAACAAAAAAGAAAGCACAAAACAGTAAATTTTAACTACATTATGTATAGAGTAAAAATTAACAGATTTGAAGATGTGAGTTTAAAGTAACATGGAGTGCTTATTTTCACTTTCAATGTGTTGTACTTCACATCGCTAAAAAATCTGTAAAATAGAACACATTTCAGTGAACATAAGACAGTGACCATCAACTGAAAATTCTGATGAAATTACAGACAACACATAGTAAGGAAACAAGATTGTCAAGTGTCTACATGCTGTCTTTGTCTGAGCCAGGGTCCAGCCTATACCCAAACCAATAACAAAGAAAACTGTAAAGGACAGGAAAGATTATTCAAGTTCTAAAAATAAGAACTCATTAATATTTTTCAATCTTTTTTCCTGGATTGCCAAAAACAAAGGGATTTATTTTTAAATCCAAGTAGAGAAAAATGTGTAAAAGTAGCTTATCTACTAGGTGTATACAGCAGCCGCACTCTGCACAGATCAATCTGCACCCTGCTCACCAGCAAGCTAACTAGTCTGAGTGAAATTCAGTATTGTCCTCAAGACCGATGGTGAATTATATCTTCTCTCCCTAAAGCAAAAGAAGTAAATCTTAAACCAGGAAATAGCATCCAGGCTGTTGGAGAATAAATGTTCTTACAAACATCTGAAGAACCTGAGATTTCATCCTGCAAACACTGGAAGAGCTAACATTCTAAAACACTGAGTTTTCAGAAAAAAGAGATTACCATTGCAATTACAAAACCTATAGTGCTTATGTTACTTGAAAATTTGATACACTGGTAATATCTCTGCCAAGAAATTTTATTTGTTACACTAGCATCAACTAAATTAATATACAATTACTTTGTATTTTAAAATTATAGCATCATCACTTTTATGACACTCTAATTAATAAAACTGAAAATTTTCCAAATTGAAATTAAAATGAAGCATCCAAGTAAGGTCCTTTCCCTAAATTTTCCTCAATTATGTACCAATAAACCTTTTTCTAGATGAAGCTTCCTCCTGAGACCTTTTTAATTTAATACACTAGGTACTAAAATTTCTGCTGGAAATAATAAGTGCCTCATTTCCTAATTCTTATTTCCTTAATTCGCCTATTTTCATGAACCTATATGAACTTAAATCCTAACTTTTTTTTTAATTTTTTTTTTTTTAAGATTTATTATTCGTACAGAACTTGGGTACAGGCCAGAGTTACAGAGGGTGAGAGGATTCACCAGGTACAGAGCAGGGAGCAGAACAGTAAGATCGACGAAGTATACTGCTGAGGGGAGCAGCAGGCGGGTCAGGAGAGGTCTGCTGTGCCATGTGGTCACCTCTGGGGCAGGCAGGAATCAAACTCATGCGGAAGTGGCTTTAGCTTCTCAGTGCAGCGCTTTAACCCACTGCGCCACCAGGGAGGGCCCTTAATTTTTTTTTTAAGATTGATTTATTTATTCGTACAGAACTGGGGTACAGGCCATAGATGCAGAGGGTGAGAGGATTCACCAGGGACAGAGTGGGGAGCAGAACAGGCAGATCGACAAAGTACACTGCTGAGGGGAGCAGCAGGCAGGTCAGGAGAGGTCTGCCTGCCATGTGAAGCTCCTCCGGGGCAGGCGGGAATCAAACTCATGCTGAAGTGGTTTAAGCTTCTTTGTGCTGTGCTTTTTAACTCGCTGCGCCACCAGGGAGGGCCCTCATTTTTATTTTTTACACCCCTACTATGCCTGATGTTATTGCCTTCTTTTTACCTGTAATTCTGTTAACACTTGCCTTCCTTTTGGTTTGATTAATCTTGCCAGATGTTGCTTAGTTTATTGGTCTAAAATCTAGCTTTCGGTTTTGTTAATCTTCTGTTTCTTTTACTTTCTCTTTTATTAATTTTTGGCCTTTTCTTCATTTTTCATCTTACCAGTTGCTCTGGCTTTACTATTTGGCTCATTTCCTAATGCCTAAAATTTCCTAATGCACAATTTCCAAATTGTGTCCTTTTCTAATACATGCATTAAGGTCATGAACTAAGTATGTGCAAGTATAAAGCAACTCCAAATATAAAGTGGGTCCCCTATTTGCCAATGAGACTATCTTAAAATAATTTTTATTATTTGAATATGTAAGACAAATATGTATTTCTAACATTAGCATAGTTAAATTTTAAAAACACATAATCTATAAAAATACTGATTCAGAATGTTTATCTCATAATCAGAATAATTTTTTTGAAAATCCTCGTAAATGTCTGGGGCTTCCCTGGTGGTGCAAGGGATTAAAGCAAGTCACTGCAGGGCTGGCCCCCATGGCTCAGTGGACCTCTTTTGCCTCGCCTGCCTGCTGCTCCCCTTGGCAGTGTAGTTCAGTCAATCTGCTGTTCTGCTTCTCACTGTCTCTAATGAGTCCTCTCACCCCTCCATACCTCTGGCCTGTACCCAGTTCTTGTATGTTCATGTCTTTTATTAAAAAAAAAAAAAAAAGACATGAAACCCAAGGGGATTGCAACTGAGATGGAAAATGCACAAAAATATGTAAAAATAAACTATTATAATAAAAAAAGATATGAATGTCTACAAAAATGGTTTGAGTCACATTAAGTTTTTCAGATCCCATAAACACTTTCTGAAAGTCTTTTATACTATTATTAAACTTTTTATCCCAAGTCACAACTATACACTTACATAAAATGTTAGGATTTTCCCTCTATGTTCTACACAAATACTTTAATAACTACAACATAACCACTGTATTATTTTTAATTGACTTTTTAAAACCAGTTCTGTTCTAGATTTCTTTGCCTCTTTTTTATGTTTAAATTACTAATCAAATTAGCTTGGTGAGCCTTCCAAACTTACAAATACTAAAGGTATTTTAGGTCAAGTGCCTTTCTTAAATAGTACTTTCGTGTTCAAGAACAAGAGAATATCTTGCAGTGATAGAGATCCCATGAACACACACAAAACTCCTTTTCTGAAGAATATTTCTAGAGGAAAATGTCTTGTTATGTATTTGGAACTATTTCAGTCTTCTAAATTTCATTTAATGGCTTTTCACCAGACTTTTATATGTTGCTTTTTCATTGTTTTCCAAATCACAAATAAGAATTCTTTTGTAAGTTTTCAACTGGACTGATTGGAGGTCTAGAGTCAGAATGCTATGCTATCTCTTATTTATTTCTGTTTACTGTAACAATCAAATAATTCATTAAGATTTACTAAGCACAGTGGGTTAAAGCACAGCACTGAAAAAAAAAAAAAAAAAAGCACAGCACTGGGAAGCTAAAGCCACTTCTGCATGAGTTCAATTCCCACCTGCCCAAGGAGGTGACCCCATGGCGTGGCAGACCTCTCCTGATCCGCCCACTGCTCCCCTCAGCAGTGTACTTCGTTGATCTGCCTGTTCTGCTCTCCACTCTGTCTCTGGTGAAGGCTCTCACCGCCCCTAAGCCTCTGGCCTGTACCCCAGTTCTGTATGAATAAATAAATCTTAAAAAAAAAAAAAAGATTTTCTAAGTTGTAAGGTTGTTGTGTTCCTGCGCATTTTCTCATCAGAGTAAGGAAGAACCAAAGGAAAGAATTAATGAGTATTAACATTCCAGACTACAAAGTAAAACACTCAAATTATAGAAATACATTTATAAAGTACAGGCCGGTCAGCCACGTAAATAAATGTCAGATATGTCAGCCTGCAGACTTCCTAAATTTATGTCAAATAACTGAAACAAAAGGTTTTTCAATTTTCCTTTAAGAAATTTAAAGTTTACCAAGTTACGCTACAGAAAAGGAACTTTCCACTAAAAGAATGCCTATTAGGGCCCTCCCTGGTGGCGCAGCAGGTTAAAGCACAGCACTAAGATGCTAAAGCCACTTCAGCATGAGTTTGATCCCCACCCTGGAGGGGATCCATACAGTGCAGCAGACCTCTCCTGACCGGCTGCTGCTCCCCTCAGTAGCTTACTTCATCAGTCAGCCTGTTCTGCTCCCCTGTGAATCCTCTCATGGCCCCTGCACCTCTGGTCTATATCCCAGTTCTGTATGCATAAATAAGTAAAATCTTAAAAAAAATGCCTATTAAAGTTTTATATTTAATATATCATAAGCCAACAAACAAACAAAAAAACCACTAGGTTTTTTTACACAAGCTAATTTAGCTTTTAAAATCCTCAGAAAGGCTAACTGCTTATATGAATTGTGAGGAAGTGGGAGGCTTAACGAAAGTATTTATGGATAATGAATATGGTCGAGTTGTAAAAGACACAAGACAGGTCACATAATGACTACGTGACAGATGAGGAAACAGTTCACAGAGCAAGGGGCCTGTTTGAAATCATATTGGTAATAAATGATTGATGGTCTTTCCCTGAGCTTTACTACACATCAAACTACCTTCTTCCTCTTTTTGATATTAAAAAAAAGTAATAAATTACTTCAGTTGTGAAAATTTACCCAAAGAAAATAGTAACAAATGTACACAATGGTGTAACTACGAAGACTCCAGGGACAGTGCTATTTATTTTTTAAAAAAAAAAGTATGTAATACCTAGAGGTTAGGTGAATTATGATACATCATAGGCTTTAACTAGGGCACAATATAGCCAATCAAAATAGCAGAGAAATTCTATGACACAGCAAAATAGACACAAAATATTAAGCAAAAACATAGCCTATATAATCATATGTGCAGTAGCATTGTACGTCTTTTAACAAAGCACAAATGAAGAGAACAAAAAAAACATATTCCAAGTACTGAGTCTTTAGGAATCAGAATGTATTAAGTTTCTAAAATGAAAATGCATCTTCTTAAAATAAAAGAACAAAATTATTCTAAGTAAATACACTAAAGTCAAGCCCATAACTTCAGAATCCTTAACAAAATCTAAGTGGGTTAACCTTTTTCAAAAAAAGAAGAAAAAGCCTGAAAAATAAAACAATTTTAGTTTTGGACAAAAAAAAATGTTAACGGCTTTCAGGTCATGATGAAGACAGATAAATATATATATTTTTAAATCCCTACA